TTTACTAAGCCATTTTAAGTCGCATAAAGTAAGTAGTCTCATGGTGTAAATTTTTTCTCCTCAAAGAATCCTTACTACTTGCGCACCTCAGCACTCACAACGGTAGTTTTCCTGTCAGATACCTAACCGTTTTATGCATATTCTTGTGCAACTGTTTTCCAGAATGAATTTTCATAAATGATCCTCATGAACGTGGTCGTAAAAGTTTATCTGCTGACTGGCGGTTTATTTTTGAAAAAAAGCAGATTCTTCAGGCCTTTAATAAGATTTTCTCACAAATATTTCGCAGAATCCGTAACATTTATGCTATGACACACATGCAATAACAATTTTTCAGGGCTTTTCACGTTCGTCTTTTACGACAAAATTTGTTTTGAAACGGCTTTCTTGACAAGTCCTAATAAATGAGGTAAAATGGTATTTTGTATATGGTGTAAAATATGAATTCTTTATCGACGAAATAGATGATACTCTTTACGAAGTGCCAACTGCGCAATCCATCATTTTAAACGTCAATACAACTGTCAGAGCAGATACTGAAAACTGCAATGGCGTGATTAGTAAGAACGGCTTTAGCTATCTCAGCAAAACAAGCATGAAAATGTTGCACTTTTCTGCCGAGAAAGGAATGTTCTTTTAAAAAAGTACTTTCTTGCAGCATAGAGATGTTTATCAGTAAACGTGGTACTTTGCATACAAAAGTCGATAATCGATTTGATAGTCGTACCGTTTGAATTAATTTTCCTTGATGGATATTCGTGTTAAGGGAGGCAGATCCGTCACCCGATCATCAACTTGTTGTTTGCACCATCCGTAGTAAAAGACAGAGTACATGCATAGATCTGGCGGAAGAATCACATGGCAGCCATTATCTTCTGCTAATGCCACGGCTAAACTTGCGAACAACATTGAACGATGATTTGAACAGATATCGTTGAGGACGTCGATTTGGAAACAGAGTGGAACTTCTTCAAGAGCGGCAAACAATGGGTGCTGCTAGATTATCCGGTTTAAATCGTGTTGCTCTGCCACCTGGAGATCAGAAACTAACACAAAGTGAATATGAGCGGCTTACATGACTGTCAGAGCGTGCAAAGTTAAAACCAGCATTCATGTGATAGCTGGGAACAAATGAATTTTCAACTCGAATGCAGTTCAAAGAAGCTACAAAAGCAGCGAACGCAGTGGCTGAAGAGAAACTCGGTTTTTGGGAATGTTCCGTGAGATAACGCGGTCGAAATTCCAGACGGCAAACAAAGTATTCTAGCAGGATTTTAGTCGCTTACAAGATTGGAAGAAAGGATAGTCTGAATCCTGAAGGGCAAGTCCGGACGCTTTTTCATCAAGCATGAGGGTGTACTTCGGCGAGGGAGGGAGTACTTTAATGGACTCCTTTACCCGAGCAACAGGAAACGGGCACTACTCTTTCGGTAGACGAAGGTGTCGAAGCTGCAAAAATTTTGCAAAGTGGCGATGTTGCTATAAATAATGAAATCCGCGTATGAAATGCTTAAAGCATCATGCGAACAGGGCATGTTATGGCCAACATGACTGTCACACTGCAATGGCGACGGGGGATATATCAATAGAGAGGCGAACGAGGGTTTTAGCAGTACTGTTCAAAAAAAAGCCCATGGGGAGTACCCCAATTATTACTGCATCACCCCATTGAGCCGCCCGGGAAAAGTTTACGTGAAGGTTCATGGAATGTGAATTTTGCGGAATAACTGACTCCAAGATAAAAGAAAAACAGTTTTGCTCCACGTCAGGTAGGAGCACCTCTAATCAGATTCTCGCCTCAAGCTAGGTTGTTTATCAATCGTGAAATCTTGTTCATCCAGTTTACAAATGCTTTGTAGACTTATAGAAACCCCATGACCCAATCCCGCTCAATAATCTGTAGACGAGCCTGGAAGCATGCTGAATCGTTGGTAAGTTGGTATAGTCACTACATGCTAATAACAGGTGTTGCGTCAGAGTAAATAGCGTTAAGTAAAAAACTTTTAGCTTTGGCACTGGTATCCGCAGAAATTGGGCTATGTCTCTTCTCTTCTTTGTGCTGTGCATGGATAGAGTAATAATGCGCTGACGGGACCGTCAGTGTACTAGAGTAGGAGTTGTGGAGACGAGAAAGCTGTTGGTTGCAGGCGAATTCATTTACTTGACAATTTCTGAAACTGATCTCTAACGGGCTCTGAAGTGGTTTTCAGCGGAGTGAGACGTAGCCGGAATAGGTGTGAACATGTGCAAAATGAAAAGCCTAGCGCTTTTTCGTTCTCTTGCCCGTTACGCTCTTCAGATAAACGGAAATGCAGTCCAATATGTGAAGTTGACGTATCTTGAGGTAGTGTTTACAAGTGGTGGAAAATGGAAAGAAGACATCCTTCGACGAATCAGAATGGCCATCGCTTTTTGTGTGAATTCGCCCGAACTGTTGTGACTACAACAGTGCTGAGTCTGCAGAAAAAGTTCTTCTTGCTCAAGTCGATCAACATTCCGATGAGTCGAGCCATGGCCAAAAACCTTTGATCTCAGCAACAAGCGGTTGAAATTATTTTTGTGAAGCCATTCACTGGCTCCTCATCTGGTCATGATCCCGAGTATGAATATCGTTTCTTCAGAATGATAAGTTGCAGTGACGATGGTTAGGCAGATCTCGCGAATGTTTCTAGAAAAGAAATAGAAACAGCTATTTCTTGCCAAATGAACCGACTAAAAATTCAATGGATGGCCACGAATGACAAGGGTAAGCTTCTCGGTCTAAGCTCCAACGCTGGCACAGGACCGATGAAGACTGTTTGACACGTCTGACTCAGTGACCTGAAATGATAAGTGGAAATCTAAACTGACTCTCTAAGGCAAGCGCGAAGGGATACGTAGTGCATTTTTTAGCTACTGCGATAATCATAAAGGTTTTTGATAAACTCCGTAAGCTTATAATAAATCAGGATAAGAGAATAATGACTTTTTGCATCTCATCTCAAGTACACTCATATCGTAAGAATATATTTTTGATACAAAAATGGGCTGAGCTATTATCCCAACTTTATTCTTAATGTGAGGTTGTCAATAATTTATGTATTAGTTTATTTATTAATTTGTTGCAGTGATTGTATTATATTATACTGTTTCGTAGTGTTCCGAACAGAAATTGGAATACACTCTTACAAAAAATAGATGCATATTCATCACTATGCATGCGTAATTATATCCAAAATATGTTTATCATGATACGTTTGTCATATCAGACAATAAATATTTTGTGTACGGTTGAACTGCTGTGGTAATATGCAGAGTTGAAGACAGTTATAACCAAATGGAAAACAGTTTTGCGTTCATTGTCATTGATTCATAACGCAAATTATCATTTTTTTAACGATTGCTAATGTAGTTTTCTGAATCATCATCAGTTAAAATAGAGACCACCATTTGTCTGTATCATTATGTTTAGAAAAATGATGTAAGAAAATGATGTAAGTTTCCGTTTTTATCAAAAACTGTAAGAAATTCAACAGCGTATTTGCTATAGGGTAATTTACTGTAGACGTGTAGATAAATTTTTATGTTAACTGCAAACGGACGGGGTTGTTAGTTAGATATGAATGGTTTAGGTTCGTTTTTGATATACCAGGCTAATGTCAGTGTGAATGGTAGTACGAATGGTACAGCAAGTGCGGTTAAAATATCGACAGAGGGGTCAATGTTGGCGTATAGTGCTATTTACTTCATGGCGGTGATAAGTATTGTGTTCGGTTCGTACCGTTCGCTGCGATTTGTGGAAAAGCACGTAAAGGAGAACAAGAAAATCGAAAACAGCATCCGTCTGAAAGACGCCAAGTGGTTTCCGATCTCGGCCAGCGTCGTGTTGTTCGCCTTCTACGTCGCGTTTCGCTATGCACTGGTCGTCGAGAAGACGGTCGACACCCTTCTTTTGGTCAATAGGTACCTGGACGGCAACCGATGGCTGAATGCAACCGCCGTCCGTGATTTCCTGATGGCCTTAAAGGCGGAGAGAACCAACAACGGCTTCAAGCTCAAGGAATATCTGATGATCGTGCTACCTGTGTTCTTCTGTTTCCAGGGCGTGCTCATGCTGTCTGCGTTGATCAAGCCGCTCGTGTCGCGGCTGCTGAACAAGCTGCCTCAGTCGTTGGTCGAACGTGTGAAGCTCGTCTACTTTTCGCTTAAGTTTTCACGTTCCAACACAGATGAGTTCACGAGGAAGAAGGACCTGGTCGACTGGAGCTTTGACTCGCACGACCTCTACAGCGCAGCGCTATGCTCTGTCGTGGCCATAGCTCACATCACTAAGAGTCACTGGATCACAAATGACATCTTTGCGTTCGCGTTCTCTCTGTATAGCATCGGTGCTCTGCATCTAAGCAGTTTCAAGGGCGGCATCATGCTGTTGGCCGGCCTGTTCGTCTACGATATCTTTTGGGTATTCGCCACAGACGTCATGGCAACGGTGGCGACGAACATCAACGCGCCGATTCTGCTCATGTTCCCCCAAGATCTGCTTGAGAAGGGCTTAGGTGGAACAAAGTTCGCCATGCTCGGTCTTGGTGATGTGGTCATTCCGGGCATCTTCCTGGCACTGCTTTTGCGTTACGGCGTTAGCGTCAAAAATCGCCTTTACTTCTACATACCCCTCATCGCTTATGGTGCAGGTCTAATACTGACCATCGCCGTGATGCACTACTTCAAGGCCGGTCAGCCAGCTCTGTTGTACCTGGTTCCGTCGTGTATTGGCGCCCCTCTGCTGTTGGCATTCATCAACGGCGATTCGACCACATTAATGAACTTTTCAGAGGACCACCTTGTGCTAGAAGAAGACGAAGAAGAGGCAGAGATTGCCGAAGTGAAAGATACTGACAAAACGGCAGAAAGCAAAGAAGAGACGAAAAAGGAAAAATAACCTATCATTTTCTTTTTCAAATAGCTGTTGAACATTGTTGCTGTTGCTTTGGTACATCAGGCGAGAAGTTTTATATTAAGTGGAGCTTTATTTTACCTATAGCTCAATTGTTTTTCGTTGGGTTTTTGTTCTTCGCTTATTTTCTATTGTGCTGCGGTTCTCTGATCAGCGTCAAGTGTTCGCGTAACGGTTATTTATAAAATTTTTTTGATCCAATTTAATGGTCCGGTTTTCGTTTAAACGTGCTCTGTGATGGTTGAAGTTGGTGCAAAACAAAACAATTAGCTTATATTTGTCTCAACGGCGTAATCGCAGCGTTCTATTACTTCTAGCGTTTTAAGGGACCCAACGCAGTGATGCAATTATTCTGCGTCCATGCATTGCAAATCCTATAATACCGTGGAATCGTAATCTTCTGAAACGGTTCCTTAGGTCACTAGAAGTACAGTAACAGTATGGTTGTGTTAAAATAGAAATCCGGAGAAATGACACGTATGTGCTATGCGGTATTATGCTGTAAAACTGGCTTTTGCTAGCAAGCCCCTGAAGGGGGATCGAGCATCATCCGAAATTTTGGAGAATATGTATATAGTTATTTGAAAATGCTATCATTCTGTAAAGGACTTGAAGTTTTAACCTAGAATATCATGTTTATGTTCGTTTATAAAACTGATCTGGGTATATGCGCATTTTGTGAAATCTACATGGTAGGTTCCTGGAAAATGAACTGAGAAAACTGTCAAGAAGCTTCAAACTAATGCATCAGTGGAATCATTTTTTCAACGGTGATAGTGTCGAAAATGCGGTTTTGTTTTGCAAAATGGAAAATGTTACTGATGTTTCCATCTGTACTTCAGAAATCTTTTGCGTAATGAGGCACTTGATATCCAGATTTTTTGTCGTCTGTGATATCATGGAAGTTTCGATCCATAGGGCAAGCTTTGAAACCATGTTAATATTTTTAATTTCTTGGCGACTTGCGCAGTGAGGCTTCCAGGTCATAAACGAAAATAGCAATTGTTCACGTCATTCCAATGCAAAAAGTACTCGGAGAATAGAAATATGCCTTGCTGGAAAGACATGCTGCCTCCCCCGGTAACCTGAGTGGTAACGCACTGTCAGCACAACGAACAGCTGAACAAACTGGTGTCGAATTGGCATTAATCAACTAGTCCTGCGATGACGTCAGCGGAAACAGAAGCATCGAACGAGCATCGTCACA